AAGATTTTTTGAAATCTTTAAGCCATAATTTTAATACAGTGAATCAATAAGAAACAAGAGGGCAGACAAAACTTCACAGCTAATATCTACTGTTCCACCTGAGAACCACTAGCAATTTGACTACAGACAGTTATCTGCACAAAAACGTACTTCAAAGGCATCCCGGTTACCATCCATGCTTCTATTCCTCACCCTTTAACTCTACCTAGATGAGACAAGATGTGTGAAAACTGGCCACTGTGTTTTGTCTTCTCCTGGCTTATATATTGTATTACTAGAGCCTTATTACTTTACCCTTGCACTCCCATGGGATTAATGAAGCATTGCAATAGCCAATCATAACTTGCAGCTTACAATCTGGTGTCCTGTCGGGCTTATAATTATTTTTAAGACAGGTCTACTAGTTTAGCAAACACCTTCATTGTGTTATTCTTGGAGCTGAAGAAGCTGTTCCTTATGCAATGCTTGTCTTGTTCCTGTAACTTCCTTCTTGGCCACTGCTTGTAGTAAACATCCTTTTGGCTCCATTTTAACAGAGCTTCCCACAGAAGGTCATTTATTAGGTAATCACTTGTCTGTGAAAAATCCTAATTACTCTATGTTTGTCGGAGGGAGGAGACAGCATTGCATTTGAATGAGAATGAGGAGCAGCCACACATTCAGACCAGCGGAACGGGGAAGTTTGTTAAATTGGCAGATTAAAAAAAGAAATTCTTTAGCAGGCTACAGTTTGGGAGTTTAAAGGAACTGATACACTATCAGCTATAATGAAGATAAAAACACAGAGTTTATGGTGTTATCAATTTTGGAGTTAAAGTAAATGAAAATTGATTTGTAAATGTTGTAGGGATGCTACTTTTTTTCTATGGAGTCTTAGTGCCCCCTGCTGACCCTCAAGAAATGTGCTTTTATCTGCCCCCCCATTCATGATGGATCCTGTTATTCTCTCTAGAGGGGCATTTCTCTGTTATGAAATAGGGGGCCTTTTCAACATGATAATCTGCCTCAGCAGTCCCATGACCTGATGGTATCTTCAACTTTCCACAATGGTTAGAGAAGCCTGACTTAGTGGTTGCTGGAAGAAGGGTTGTCATTTTTTCTAATGGTATAGCCATTATAAGCCTGGTGGGAGCTGGGCGGTGGTAGCAGACACCCACAACTAATCACTGAACTGAACTGGAATCCAGCTGCAGAAAAGGACAAGTGATGGGCAAAGTGGTACAGGCCAGGTTGGTGAAACCCACAGAAACAGCTGACATCAACAAGGGGGAGCTCTTGGTCCCCAGACTGATAGCTGGGATGCCAGCATGGGACTGATCCAGACCCCAGGAACATGGGTTTCAGGAGGAAACCTCAGAAATCTAGGGCACCTCCTGTACTAGATCAGTACTTATCCCTAGCATAGGTGTGGACTTTGGGAGCCCATTCCACATAGAGGAATACTCCCTGAGCCAAGACACACGGGGGTGGGCCTAGGCCCTATCCCAAAGGATAGGACAGCCTCTGAAGACCCCTATGGAAGGCCTCACCCTCCCTGGGGAGCAGAAAGGATATGGGATAGGTAGGGTTTTAGTTGGGATGTGGGGGGGGGGGACGTGTAAGGGAGGAGAGGAGGGAGAGGGAACTGGGATTGTCATGTAAAACAACCTTTCTAATTCAAATAAAAAAAAATCAACAGAAAAAAAAAAAGACAGGTGGGAAAAGGAAACAATTCAAAGGAGATATCAGATGAAAACAGGGAGTGAATGTAATCAAAATCCACTGCATGAGTCTATGAAATTGTCAAAAAAAAAAAGAAAAAGAAAAAGAAAAGCTGAATAGACACAAGCTGTAAGAGATCAATTCACAGGGTATGAAATCACTTAATATCATAAGAAAATCCTGACAGGGGACAGAGGAAGAAGCCCTAGTGAAGGTTAGTTCACATCACCAAGTTTTCACAATGATCCCCATCACGGAGGGGCTCTGAATCCGATGCTTGCTAAACAAATATTTTTTCTGTTCACATCAGTTTATGAACAGACATGGGCACAAAAGACACCAAGATACAGCACATCTCTGAAGACTCTCACTAAAAATGCTAATTGTGATCACAATTTAGTCATCTTCTATTCATCATCTGTGTAGGGATTATTGCTATTCCCATCTGAAGACTGGGGGAAATGAGACTTTGAAAGCTAACCCTAATTTGGGATGAACAACCATTAATGGAGGATATTTCTACAAACTGAATGGAGGAAATATATTTTCCACATCTACTCCTTAGTTGTTAGATTATTATCAAAACAAATCAAAGACAGTTGTATTTTTCCATTTTCCCTTCAGCTGTTTCCTTTACTCTTATCAACCTAGTAAGCTTGACTATGTAACTACAACTTTAATAGTCACAGTCTTTCCACCTGCTAATTAAGTATTTTATCACATGTAATATGATGATGTAAACTCTTGAAACTTTGTTAACCTATTCCATATGATTATAAAGCAAATGAGCTGTGAGTGCATTTTACAGATACCAGCCAACATGACCATAGCACATACCTCAACCATTTTCTTTAAGGCTTTACAATGCCTAGTCACCATCTATCTACCCTAATGTCTCTATGGCCAGGTACCAGACAACCAAGGGAAGTTTCTGTGCTCTGGAGCTCACTGGAAATATTCAAAATAGCCAGTCCTAAATCTTACTGCCCTGCCTTGCCCATTTTACACTAAAGACATTTATCACAGACCATTTTCTGCCTCCATCTCCTGAGCCACCCCATGTGACAAACCTGTGGAAACTGAGTGAGGAAATGATAAATTATTGGCTATCCAAGAGCACATACAACAACAATGAAAAGGCCTTTCACAAATACAATAAGCTTTTCTCATGAACTCAAAGCAACAAATGGCAGTTATCATAATTAAGAGTCCTCTTTGAGCTCTAATAAATAGCTATCAAAATGCCATTTCCCAAACCGCTATACCCAAACAGCTTCTGAGCCAAGACAACCCCAAACAGTCCACTCAAACAAGGCTGTCAGGGTTCAACAATGTTATGATGTTTCCAAGGTTAAAAAAGGCAAGAAGTCAATCAATCTAAGGGATGACAGGATTGAGAGGGGGCAAGTCAGACATTTCATTTTGTGTGTGTGTGCCTGACTGGTTTTGATATATCACATCAGGGTTTCCATTACTAAGGATCAAAAAAGCAACATAAATACTTGGTAAAATCCTACTGCTAAAGACAGTACACATGTTGGCTTCAGGATATAAGAAATCAGTCTTAAACTGATCAGGAAATGTCTCCCCTGCTTAATAACTTTCATAATGTCAGAAGGTGCTATGCAGTCTTCTGGATGAGGAAAAATATTGACAGTCTTATCTAGCACTAAACCCTATATCCTGCAGTACTGATCCACCGGCCATGATAGACCTACTGGTACAATAGTGCCATGACTGTTGTGGGTAACTAACTGCTTTCTGATTAGATTTGAGGCCTGCTTCTCATGAAAGAGTTTCATTCCTGGTACTATAATTATGGTTAAAAGTCTATATCTGGGGAGATCATAGGCCCTAGGGTAGGACTTGCTATTGCTATTTTGCTAAATTATCATGCTGTCTACATGCCTTCGAAGAATTTATATTTTATCCATAGATATGGGCTGCACTCAACCTTTGTCAAAGAAGCTTGTTTTGCAATGGACATCAGTCAATGGAGAGATGTATAACTGACCACAGTGCTAAGAACAAGATACTGAATGTTCAACACTAAATGGGTTATCTACTTTACCTGCTCCCTTAACACACAATACCTAAGTTCAAGGAGCAAAATAGAAGAGAAGGTGGAGACAATGCAAGATCCCAGGTATATCGAGGAACACTCTGAAAAGCTTTCTTCTTCATATGGCATGACTATGTTATTCATAAATTTACAGTAGCTATGGCTACCTGCACAAGGCCAACACAAGATCAAGATAGTCAAAATTCCAGCATAGATTGGTGGATGATCTCCAGGTCCCACCCTCTTGTGAGGAACTCTAGGCAGTGGATAGTTTCTAAGGGGAAGAGAATCCTCTTCTTTTTCTTGTTCTTTTACGTTTCTTTTTAAGATGTGACCTCTGGTAAGCTTTGCGTGCTCCAGTGAGTGGTCCCACATTCATGCACATATGGGCAGCACTAAATGGACTTAGTGGCTTATTTATTTAAAAGGCAGAACATGACGTTGGGAGGGCACGAGGCATGTCTGGGGAGTTGTGGGGGAACTTAAAGGAAGAAAAGAGGTGGATATGATCATATTTCATCGCATGAAATTATCAAAAGTGCAGAAAATGTATAAAGGTATAATAGGAATTTTCCATCCAGATCAGTTGACTTAATACCCATCAGTGCAGTGTTGGGCTAACTCGCCTCACTTTTTAGATGTAAATATCAAGACAGAGATAGAAAGCTTTCATGTCACCTTCCAGGTTTGCACTTAGCACATCATATTCTATCCATTAGCCTCCAACATATCTACAAACAACTCAAACTCTTTAACAAAAGAACGACTACTTGAGGTGAGGTAATTCAAGTATTCCAATAGGCACTTGAATTTATGCATCACCTTATTTTTTGTAAAATAAACATTAGAATTTCAGTTAATTTCTGTCGTGAAATCCATGTTCAATTTTTCAGCTCAAACCAATGTCAAAATGAGTAGGTACCGGTCATCCTCCAGTATCTGTAAGAGTCATTTCCGGTATCCCTACCAGACAATGTTTACACTCGCTATAACGTATGCTCCTGCCCAGATCCCACAACAAAGATCCACCCTAACACTGACATGCCTTTAGGTTAGAATGAACAACCAAGTAGAAGGTAGAAAGAGAATACTATATGCTCGCATCTGAATTTCAGATAAACAGTAAATGATGTTTAAGATCAAGATTCCCCCATACAACATTTAGGTCATAATTATATCAAGCAATAGCATTCAGTATTTACTGAAAATAAAATTTTACTGCTTGAATTGTATTTTACCTGTTAACCTTGGCCCAAAATCTTCTAGTGAATCTGAATCCCTTTTGCAGTCATCAGGAGGAGAATGTGCAGAGGAAGAAGGCTGACGGATCTGTTAAAATACAAAAATGTTACAGAGCTCCTCTGGCCCACACAAGTGTCTGTTTTTACTGCCACAGCCCATCCTGGGTAGAACAAGAACATTATTGGGATGACATACAACCAGGTAAGTCCACAGGGTAGGGAAAAGAGAGATGATGTGGCCATTTACTTCTATCTCATTCTGCTTCTCAACAAGCTCCACTGGAGCTCATTTTTGGCATTTGATGCCTTTTCAATGACTGTGTATGAAGTTAAAAGGAAAATACCAAGGAGCAAAGGAGATAAAGATGGCTGTGCTAAAATAAGCCCCCAAACCACTAAGATGATTACAATGTCAAAATAGATTTTATTTGCTATATTTCTCTAATTTTACATCTTATTTGCTAATAATAAACAGTTACTTTGGGAAAACAGAGTTTCTTTTTGAGACTGCTGAGACAGGCCCATGTTTTCCCCACCATATTTCTAAATTCTTCCTGTGGTGGCCTTGGAGCCAATTTCTGTTTTAGACTCTCACTATATTACGATTCCCTGGTCCCACCAGATACGGAAGCATTCCTTTTGTCAGTGTTTTCCCCTGGGAATAATTCATTTTTAAAGAAAACCATAATTTATTTATCAGAATTCAGGCTGCTATTGCTACACGTTACTTGCAAATATTTTATGAAGTCCCTTTTTCCCCCCTTAACTCTGAAACTCATAACTTGCTTCAGTGAGGGCGAAAACTCTGACTGAAAGATGAAAATGACAAGGACAGTCTCACACCAAGCGTTAAAAAGGGCTCTGACTTGGGGAAATATTGGTGGTTTGGTGACATCCATCTGTATGTATTTCTAGAACAGCAAATATCACATTGTTCCACTTGCCGAAATGTCATAAATTTAAAGCTGGCTTCAAAAGAATACCATCAATGCTGGCTGTGAAATTCCCTTTGACTTAAGTGAGAGAACAATATTACATGCTCTCTTTTGTGCAAGAACTGCTATTATTAAAGCAATTTAAATCAATGTCAGTTTTTCTGGGCCAGTCATATACTCAGGAAGCCTGATTACAAGACTCGGAGCCAGTTGAGTCAATGAAGATACTCAAAAAGTGTCTGGAAGGAAGTATTGAGAGCATCCTATAACTGACTCTTACTCCTGCTTTTTATCATCCTCATCCAAGAAGGTCTTGGTCTAGGGTTGCTTTCATGTCTAAGAAAAACATTAACACAATATGACAATGACAGTATTGGGGACACACTTACTATAAAAGTAATTAAATAGAAATAAGATAATCAGAAAATCTAACACTAATGAGCAGATATGAGATATTAGCAGAATTAAGTAAGAACTCAATCATCATAAAAATTGATGAGCAAAGGAGGAACTATCATTTGAAATGGCTTGCCTGCTGGAATACAAGGAGGACAAGGCGACCTTGACACCCACTTCCACCTCTGTAGTACCATGATCATTAGGCAACCCTTGTCTTGCTTTCATGATCCATCAGTAGATGACAGAAAAAGTATTTACACTTCTGCTTCTGATATCATTTCAGCTTGATATATTTACCATATTGTTTGCTTCAGATAGTATTTAAGGTTGGGGTAATTTGTATTAATGTGGGTGACTTTAAAATTAAAGTCGAATAAGGATGTGCTAAATTAAACATGAATAAAACCATACTAAGGCACATGAAAACTAATCAGTTGACTAAAAGCGATTTTGAAAGCAGAAAAAGAAAGTGGTCCATTAGAGGCTAAAAATGATTCGATAATGGGGAACTATAGAGGCCAGGAACAAACCAAATGACATCTTTAAATTGCTGATAAGAAAACCCCTGACAGACAAACATGTATGTCCGGTAAACACATATTTCAAAATAAAAACAGATCTCTTAGCATAGAAAGCACTACCCATAGAGACATAAGTGACCTTGGGGCATTCTGTTAAGGGAAGCAAGCCAGAAGCAGAAAAATAAAATACCACAAGCTCTTACTTTGTGGAATTTATAATACTCAAACAAATGCACATCATAGGTCTCAACTTTAAAGTTCCCCTTTTAGCATTTAACAAATAAACAACAATAAATTAGAAAAAATTGTAAAATATATTGATAACCTTACAAGCACACTGATGTGGGTACTTGTGACAAACTATATTTTTGAGGTGGCATGATGCAGTATCAGAATCATGTCAGCAACTGCATATTTCTATTCAAGTATTTCAAGAACATGTAGGGCATATTTAAGAATTAGAGGCTACTCAATATGACAAACAGGATCCAGATACTTCCAGAGCTCAGCCTCATTCACAGATGACAGACAGCAAGCAGGGACTTGGGCTCTGAGGTCAGATAGATTGAATAAAACCCTAGTTACATCACCTGGGGTGTAGTCCTTAATCTCCCACAAGCCTTCCCTTTCTCTTCCGAAAATTATAATGATAGCACTTGTCTCATCAGGTTAAGCAAGATATTGACATCAGAGTGTTAGTCCTGTTGCTGTATGTTTGTCAAAAGCAAGAACTAAATTTTCTCTACATCCCTGTAAATAAATACATTTGATTTGGGAAGTGCAGATCAATCCAACTTGTGATGATCACAAGAAGCCTTTGAACATTGCTGAAGTCCCTGGAGATTTATCCTGCAAAGCTACCAAGATAAGATTGAAAAGTTCAAATCGCTACACCAGACCTGAACCCCCTATGGTTCAGGAGTCTTTGCTTACAAATATATATGCCTGAGCAAAGTTTTCAATTTGTTCCTTTTTAAAATTCATAGCTTCCCCTCCATTGCACCCAGATATTTCTTATTTCCCTTCTCTGGATTGACAACAAATATTGATTTTGATGGTAAGAGATTTCTCTCCAGAGAAGCCAAAGGAGTTTTTTTCCCCTTTCTAATAACGGCTTCTTTAAATGTCATTTAAGCTGTTTGGTTTTCTGGTCACTAGATGCATAGATAGATAGCAGAAAAAGAACCTAAAAGACTGACTGGAGTTGAGACCATCTGCCTCCTGATGCAATTGAAGATTGGAGTAATTCCTCTCTTCACTTACTTTGACTTCCAATCTCAACAAATCCAGTTTTAAAATAACTTATCTGCAATCTTACTTTTCAATAAATTATTCATAACTATATAAATGTAGGGTAAGTGTGACACATAATTTAGATGTAATTGTCATTGATACTAACCACAAAAATCTTCTAAGATGAGACAAAACTTAAGAGTACATTTGTTCCCATTTAGCATGCTCTTATCATAATGGGCTCAAGGAAGAATGTTTAACTTCTACTTTCATGGGGGGAAAATACAGTTGTTACATTGGGAGCAACCTCTTAAAGATTGCCACAAATCGTAAGGGTGTGATCTGCACAAATATTTCCTTTACATTACATTTGTTTCACAAAATTTCAAACCAGAGAAGTGAATCTTTTCACCCCATGAATATTAGGCTCACAGTAGAACTTTTCATTCCGGGAAGGTGAGGCTCACACTAGAAGGATATTGGCTGAGAATGCAGAGTTCTGGCCATCACAACGCCACCATTCAGGAAGTAAAACATCACAGCATAGCACCTGAGGCCCGGAACTTCCTCCTTGCCATCCATCACTGAATGTGTTCTGTACTTGCCTTAAAGAAATGGCTGCGTGGAAGAAAGAGGTTCAACCACACACACACACACACACACACACACACACACACACGCACGTGCGCAGAGAGAGGGGGGTCTATGTGAAGTGTGCTTTGTGGTTGTTTTCCTTCCTTGTGGAGGAGCACAGATCATGTCCCACCAGGAGAGGGAGTGGCCCATACTGATGACCTGTGCCATTACAAGATGGCCCTGGGGGGAGCTACAGAGGTGAGGTTTCTAGTGTTTACTAAGAAAACCAATTGGCTGCCCAAACTCACACCGGATGAGGTCATCACACTAGCAGACTGTGCCCAAGAGGGGATAGGACACTAGATACATAATAGGAATACCTTTAAAATTATTGGGTGATTCTTTTCCCACCCTGTGTTTTTATTACTTTAAGAGGGCTTTGCTGTTGAACAATAAACGGGATCTTGCTTTACTTGACTCCCCTTTGCTTCTGATTGTCTCCAGGTTTCAGGGAGGCTGCAGGATGGGAAACAATGCACTCCACTCTCTCCAATCTCAACGGGGGGGGGGGGGGGGGGGGGCAGAGACCCCAACACTTCTTTTTACTATCAATAATTTCAAGACTCTGCTTCTCAATGCCAGCACCTAAACCATAACCAATTATTTTTATGAAAGGAAAGTGTGAAATGGAGAGGGACATGAATACAATCCCCAAATTCTGTCATTTACCGGTGTTTTGCTGTTAAAACACCCTTCAGCATCCTTCCCAGATGCTAGCTTGGGTGTCTGCCAACCTAAGACTATGCTATTTCTATATAATTTCTCCCACATGTTAATAAATGGCCTGATAGTAATAAATGGCCTGAATGTATAGCATGAATATTTATATTTAATTTCAGTATGTCGTGTATATTAATTTATGTTAATTAGCATTAGTATATTAAAGAAAGCAAAGACAGCTTTAGCTCGTCAGTGAATTTCAGCTCTTGCTAAATGAAAAAGGGTGTCAAATACCCATGTTGAATTACTTAAAAATAAAAGGCTCATCTCCCTGCACTAGTAATGTACTTTATTGCATCCTGGATTTCACAGTCTAAAATGATTAGCAGCTCACCAAGAACTGTGAGAATTATTCAAAAGAACTGGAAAAGGGGAAACAGGATATAGTGTGAAAGTCATATAAAGAACATTGAATTATACTTAGGAACTTTGCTTCACAGAGCTCACAAAGGGGGGAGCCCATTGCTTTTTCTCTCAGCTCAATGAGAGGGATACTTTATCAAGCACTTCTGAAAGTAAGGCATCCTGCTGATTTTATTTTTGTTAAGCAAGGAACAAAGCATATTGCTTTATTAACAAGAATGCATTAAAGTCATGGACACCCAACACAGAAATCAACTGAAAAAAATCATAATTGCTCTATC